TTCTATTCTATTTCTATTCTATTTCTATTCTATTTCTATTCTATTTCTATTCTATTTCTATTCTATTTCTATTCTATTCTTTCTATTCTAATTCTATTTCTATTCTAATTCAATCCTAATTCTGTTCTATTCTATTTCTTTTCTATTCTATTTCTTTTCTATTCTATTTCTTTTCTATTCTATTTCTATCCTATCCCATCCCATTCCAATTTCTCTTCTCTATCCTATTCTAATTCTAATTCTAATTCTAATTCTAATTCTATTCTATTCTATTCTATTCTATTCTATTCTTTTCTATTTCTATTTCTATTTCTATCCTGTCCCATCCCATCCCATCCCATTCCAATTTCTCTTCTTTATCCTATCCTATTTCTCTTCTATTGAGTGGGAGCTGGTGAAAAGGGGCTTATGAGCATACGGGAGTCTGTTCAACCCAGTCATGACTCGTGATGCCCACCAAACAGGTCAGTCACATGGCCCACCCGATTTTAAAACCCTTTTTGCAGAACAGGACCGTTCAACAAAACCTGCCGTCTTTAAGTGAACCAATGGATCACGACAGACACCTCTTTTTTTTTGCCGAAAACTGGAAGCAAACATTGGGGGTTGGTAAAAACCTAATTCCATGAGGCTACGGGACCAAGGGGTGCTGCAAATAGACCTTAAATGTGGCTTGGTTGCCGAGTGCCTGGAATGAGGTCCCACGACCAGAGCGAGGGGTGGGAGGCAACTGCCAGAACTTTGAATCTGGGTCATAAACACCCACACCGGTTGGTCCACTGGAATTTCAAACTATTGCTGAGCGACCGATTGTAACTCAAGGACTTAGTTCAATCATGGTTTCCTGCAGTCTTTGGGAAGGGAGAATCTGGATCAAAAAACAGAGGAGCCAAATGCCCCAGATAAGCCAAGACCAGGGTAGAAACTGAGGCCCAGTTGTGGGAAGATATGAATTCCTGTGCGGGCTGATCCCAACAAACCTCGATGGAGCTCCTCTTGGAGACCTTTGACTTCTTGCCCCTCCTAGACTGAGACAACCTGTTCCCCCCACCATCTCCCCAAGGATGTCTGACTGGAGGACACTTGGCTGCAGCCCTGGGGAGCCGCGTCGGGCTGGCAATCTTCACCCACCTGAATCAGGAAGGTGAACAACGGTGTGCTTGTGAGGTGGGCCGTCTGCAGCTGCCTGAAGATCATGTCCGCTGGAAGGAGAAAGAGAAAGAAGGCTTCAAATCCGTTGCACTCTTTTTTCCTCCCTGTGCTTTGGAGAATAGTGTTCTGACGGAGGCTCCCCAAGAGCCTGAAGCAAACTCCTTGTTGTCCCGACAAAAAACCCTTTTATTAATTGATTGTGAATTTTGCTCCTTCACATCCAGCAAAGTCTTTCGAGGGAGGATTTACAGTCACAGACCTTATCTGGATTGGAAATCTGACAGGCCGATCTCTGCAGAACTTGACCAGGAGTCTTGGTGAGTCATGAACCAACAAAGCGAACTAATTGTCTCCTGCAAACTCCCCTCCCCTTTCACTCCTCTTTTATTTCCTCTGGGAGGGCCATTCATCCTCCCTCCTGTGGCCTTACTCCCAAGCCGACCCCTGTTTTTTAGCTGCTCCCTTCGTCTGGCAACTGTGCATGCGCACACTGGGAACAGGCTCCAGCTGTTCTTCTGCCTCACTGATGTCTGACTCCGAAGGCAGCTGATAACTGTCAAATGGCTCTGGCCCCTTCTCTGCCTCTGATGCAGAGCCCTCATCCGAGCCTTCCCCAGACTCCAGGACTGTCCCAGGTTCCTCCCCAACCTCCTCACTGTCCGAATCTGCTGCCAGCTCTGCTGGTGGGCCACAACAAATAGGTTGACCCCCCTCTTCTTTGCAGCAGCCTGTCAAGCATTGGAAGATGGCCATCATGTCACCCCTTGTCCTTCTTTTCATTGAACTAGACATAATTCCTATTTCTGCCCTCCCAGGCTGCAAATGGATGGTGAAAGGAACATCTCAACATCACATTAAGTCCACACATCTTCAAGATGTTAAGGTCAAGAAACACCGCATCAGAATAATGAATTAAGAGTCATCTTCTTCATGGTTCACTCTCTCCTTTCTTTCAGTCTGTTCCCCCCCCCCCCCCCCCCCAATTTATGTTTCACATTATGAGAAAACAATTTTGGGAGGATCACCCAAAGGGAGGTTTCCTCTGAACAGATGTTCTCAATATTTCCCCCCAACTTTTGACAGGTAGTTGCCTTCCCATAATCCACTACTTCTCATCCTATGAGCCACGGCAGCACAGTGGTTAGAGTGCAGTACTGCAGGCTACTTCTGCTGACTGCCAGCTGCGTGCAATTTGGCAGTTCAAATCTCACCAGGCTCAAGATTGACTCAGCCTTCTGTCCTCCCCAGGTGGGTAAAGTGAGGACCCAGATTGTTGCGGGAAATATGCTAACTCTGTAAACCATTTAGAGATGGATGTAAAACACTGTGAAGCGGAATATAGCTATTGCTATCTTGCCTTCCTGAGGGGCCTCTTCCTAAAACGGTTCAGGAGTGGAGCCCAAGAGTCTCAAGAACCATACTGCGGGGATATTTTCACAGGGATTTCTGCACTGTGGAGGGCACTGGACTTGACGGCCTCATGGCCTTCTCTAAATTGACTCTTTGAGGCTTCCTTAGAGCGAGACAGGCTGTTGCTTGGATCGCAGGTACCTTTTGACTTGCGGGAAGCCACCTGCTTCATCCGGAGGGCCCACTCCTGCACCATGTTCCCAGCCCAGGGCGTGACTGCCACCATCAGTCTCCGGTAGAGTGTCGTCTTCCCCATCCCATCCTTCGTCATACCGGCCGACAAGGCCAACTGAGAACCTCTGGGGCCATCCGAAGAGCTGGAAGCAAAGCGTTTCTTTCTTCTTATTTCACGCTGGGGAGGACAAAGAAGAAGACATGTTTGTGCACGGAGGATTCATCCACTGAAGGTCTGGCCTTATGAGACCCACTGTTTTAGAGGGCCCTTGAAGCACTGGGACAACCCTGATCTGGATGACGGAGAATCTCTACAGATTTCTAGCTATGCAATTTGGGATGAAGACCCTTGGAATGGGGTGGGAGTAGGAACAGATTCCCAGAGGGAAAAATTGCAGAGTACAGGAATCATTTGCACCACTCAGGTGACCCTGAAGACACAAATAAACCTCCAGGTGGCCTCAAGGACTCAAAAATGCAAAGGACCAGCTGTTTGCAAGGAACATAAATCCTTCCTTTCCCCACCATCCAGTCAGAGCTGAAGAAGCTTCTGGGATGAGAAGTGAAACGTCTTCAACAAAAAAACCAGGAAGTCCAGTTGCCTGTTAAAAAAAGCACCTTGGGGACAACCACAGACATGATTTTACAATGTTTTTGCAGCAGCAGTCGTTAAGCAAATACTGTGGTTGCTAAGTAAAGCAATAATTCGGTACCGGGGTAGATTTACCCAAACCACAAGTTGCTGATTTACAGCAAAGCAGTGGGAAAAGTGGTCCCATGACTGGGGACACTGCAAACGGCCACAGATGTGGCTGTGTGATTTAAGTGCCCAAAGTTCAGCCATGTGACTGCACTTTGGGGCTCAACTATCCAAACGTCAGGCCCTTAAGCCCAGTCAGATGCAACTTCAGACAGTCTCTAAGCTAGCGGTCATAAGTCAAGGACTACCTATACTTCTGTGGAATAAACAGAAGCAACAGGCAGACTTGAAACTTCCCTGACCGGAGTCTTTGAGCACAGGGGAAACCCCCCCTCCCCCTCCTCTCCTCCCTTGAAAAGTGGGGTGCTCAGAAGAAGTTTCCATTTATAAAGACAGATCTGCTCAATGTTGGAAGTGTAACCAACCATTGGGTTCACACTCTCGTATGTGGTGGACTTGCCCAAAGGTAGAAAATATTGGATGAAAATACACACTTGGTTGGAAAAAAATGATAAAGGAGCACATAGACATGAAACCAGAGATATTTCTATGAGGTTTCTACCAGAAAAATGTGATAAAAAGACTATGGTTTTACATATACTAACTGCAGCCAGAATTGTATTTGCGCAACAATGGGAAAATGACGAGATTCCGTCAGATGAGAACATAGCTAAGAAAATACTAGAATGTAAGAAATGGACAAAGTAACACTAATTGTTAAGGATAAAGAAGAAATTGAATATTTTTTGACGTGGGATGTATTTTATCACTGGTTAGATAACAAAAACAGAAGTTAGAAAGGAGGAGATATAAAAAGAGGAAACATTAATGTGGAGAGAATTTGACGATGAAGATGTTAGGTACTGTTATAATTATATTAACATAATAGTTAATATATATTAATATATTATATTATTATATTATTGTGATGAATATAACAACAAATATGCGGATGATGACTGTTCAAATAACTGCACCCAGATCACACACAGTTTGATGGAAATGATAATATAAATAAAACATGAAAAAAGAAGCTTACATTTCTCCTTTGCTGCTCATAGCTGTTCCTCCTCAAGACACTTTTCACATAAGCCAAGGAAACCCTCCATGTGTCCCTCGCATTCCCAGAATTCTGCAGGAGAGGAGGAAGAAGAGGGGCGGGGGGAACGACCAAAGGAGAATTCACACTTCAATTTTTAAACAAGAATTATACTCTTAATCCAGCAGAGTTCAACTTGGTTAATACAGAAGGAATTCCTTGGAGGGGTAAGCTCAGAAATTCTACATTTTTATTTCTTTTCA